TCATAATATTTATGTACGTATGTGCGTAATTTTAGTAAACATAGCTTCAGAAACACTTATACTATATCACCCCATTGTCGTTGAAAAAATCTTAAAGTCACGTGCCCACGTTCTTAGTGTCACCATCGATTTCGGTTGAGCTGTCCGCAAGATACGGTGTTAAACCTTTCTTCAATTTTCTCCCAAGTTCCTGCAGACACGCCGACAAAAATACTATCCTGCTCCGGCGGAAAGCGACGACTGCCCTAGTGGGAAAAATTTTTAATACCAGTTTCTCATTGAGAGCCGAGCAAGCAAGACGTGTTTTGTAACAGAGCTGTGAATCAGGGGTGTCTTCGTGCTCGGACTGACGGACGAATTGTTCTTGGAGCGGACACAGTTAAGTGTAATAAATCTATTTCAACTTTCTTGAAGCTACCGTTAATGTCTGTATTCGCTTTTGTTAAGAGACAAGTAGTTAAGGGATTGAGTTTGTAATCTTAGGTATTTTAAGGTAAAATATATTAGTGTTAAAATGTATGGTTACTTTCAGCCCTTAGGTGTTCCCTAGAATCTTTGCCCCCCCCCTCTCAGTGGGACAGCGGTATGTCTGCGTACTAACAACTCTAGAATCCGGGTTTCGATACCCGTGGTGGGCAGAGTACAGAGAGCCCATTGCGTAGCTTTGTGCTTAACTACAAACAAACTCTAGAATCTTTGCCCTCCCCCTCAGTGGCACAGCGGTATGTCTGCGGACTAACAACTCTAGAATCCGGGTTTCGATACCCGTGGTGGGCAGAGCACAGATAGCCCATTGCGTAGCATTGTGCTTAACTACAAACAAACTCTAGAATCTTCTAAGTGAATTCACTTTAAGTATGTTTGTTTGAGAAAATTATTCAAGTTTCCGTGGTTTTTCTAAATCCAGAAAATACATTCCACGTTCTACAATATTTCTTTTTCTTTGCATCTTTGAATGTTTATAATTTTATTTTGCTAAATCTCTAAAGAAAAAGTTTGGGCCCGGCATGGCCAGGTGGTTAGGGCGCTCGACTCGTAATCTGGGGGTTGCGGGTTCGAATCCCCGTCACACCAAACATGCCAACCTTTGCCTGGTCCCAAGTCCAGGATGAGAAAGGGTGCGGGGCTAGCAACTCCACCCCGTAAAAACCAACCTGCTACAAGTAACTGCAACAACACCTTCCGTTGGTGAGGTGTTGTTACGGCCCTATGCTCCACTGGGAGTTTACAGGAATAAAAAAATATATATATAAAGTTTTACGTGTGGTTAGCAAATGGAGTTTATTCTAGAATATAATTCAATTATTTGTAACATTGTACACTGGATTGTTTATTTTAAAAGTAAAGCTTAGGATTTTTTTTTTCATAAAATTTAAGACTGTTACAAATGCACAAATCATTAATCATTTACAAAAAAAAACGTACCCATGAATTTGTTACATTAAATTGTTTGACTGCAGTAACGACACGCTGTAAATCCTCTTCCAGTAAACTGGTTAGAAAGAAATGTGACATATTGTTACAGTGCCAGAGAATAAGACCACAGATAACGATTTAAATCGATAGTTGAGATTCTAGTAAATTGCCAGCACAACTTCCGTATATAAAAAAAAAGAAAAATCAAAACTTTTCTTCAACACTTCTCATTGGTCGGTAATATATTTTTCTGGACATTATAAGTCATTAATCGTTGGGTTTTAGAATGTGCGTAAAGAATTAGGAATAAATCATTCATCCTGCATATTGTTTTATTAATTCATAACAAGAGCTAATCTACGGTAGTATGATAATTAGTACATCACTCAACGATTTTTAACTGAAATATCTAAAGGAAACACCTCTAGATTTCATTGGAGGGTGAGTTACGTATCAACAGAATAAAAGAACCAACGAAAACCCCCTCTAGATTTCATTGGAGGGTGAGTTACGTATCAACAGAATAAAAGAACCAGCGAAAAACCCCTGAAGATTTCATTGGAGGGTGAGTTACATATCAACAGAAAATAAAATCAAAGAAAACACCCTATATCAACAGGTTTTTTTTTCTCTAGCGATTGTTACATGTCAACAGTACGAAATAGCCAATAAAAACATCCCACGTTTCCATTCTCGGTAGTGTTACTTATCAACAGAATGAAACAACCAATTAAAATGTCTCCTTGTTGTTGTTTTTTCTACAAAGCAATGCTTGTCGTCAAATTGAAAAAGCCAACTCGAGTAAATCTTGGAATAATGAAACGTTGTCCTGTTAACACCGTGATGCCCAGAAACATACGTTAATATAGGTATGCTTTGGAATAATGAAACGTTGTCCTGTTAACACCGTGATGCCCAGTAACATACGTTAATATAGGTATGCTTTGGAATAATGAAACGTTGTCCTGTTAACACCGTGATGCCCAGTAACATACGTTAATAAAGTATGCTCTGGAATAATGAAACGTTGTCCTGTTAACACCGTGATGCCCAGAAAACATACGTTAATAAAGTATGCTCTGGAATAATGAAACGTTGTCCTGTTAACACCGTGATGCCCAGACAACATACGTTGATAAAGTATGCTCTGGAATAATGAAACGTTGTCCTGTTAACGCAATGATGCCGAGAATTGTATACTGCAAAACCGAAACGAACAGCCAGATTGTCTCGAAGAATGTAAGCTTTGGGATTTTGAAACGTTATTCCACAGACATCATGCAGTTATCTGTAGTAATTCCCTTTAGTACCAACCCTAAACTTCCTGAATATTGGTATTTACAAGAATAAAAATATATATTGTTTTAAAACTTTTTGTGACATCTAAAGCCTACTGCCCGAGTTTGCTAACTACTGTAGTATGTTGCCATGGTTGCAAGACAGCAGTTGCCTTGGTTACGTATTTTATTCGAACACTGCAACACAACAGTTGCCCTGGTTACACATTTTATTCGAACACTGCAACACATCAGTTGCCCTGGTTACATACGCTTTTCGTGTATTGTGTTAGGTCGTCAAGAAATTTATGCCGCTTTTTTTAGATGCAAAAACCCTAACAACTTATATATCAAAACAAAACATTTATTAAATGAAATAGTCTCCATTCTTATCGATGGTGCTTTTCCATCTTACAATCACGTTGTTAATGCCCTGATTATAGATGTCACTTGGGTTTGAAGCAAAAAACATATCGATGTCATCTTTAACACCTTCCCCATTTGCATACGTTTTGCCATTAAGATGGTGTTGCAGCGAACGAAATATATGGTAATCTGGTGGTGTCACATCTGGATAATATGGTGGGTGGGGGAGAACTTCCCAACCCAACTCCATAATCTTGTGTTCCGTCAAACGTGCCACATGTGAACGTGCATTGTTGTGGAGAAGAAAAACACCTTTCCGATTGATGAGTGAAGGGCGTTTCTGATGAAGGGCTTGATTTAAAGTTCCAGTTGCTGACTATAGATCTCTGCATTGACAGTTCACTTTGGATTGAGGAGTTCGAAATGAATTACTCTTTTGATGTCACACCCAATGCAAAGCATCATTTTCTGCGGATGGAGTCCAGGTTTTGGGGTCGGAAGTGGTTTTTGTCTAGTGGTTTTTGGCGTTTAATATTCGCATAGAGAATTCGTTTTTCATTACGGGTGACAATTCTGTCCAAAAATGGTTCACGCGCATTACGCGCCAGAAGAGATGAAGCAACGTTCACAGGTTGGAAACGATCATCATTGGAAAGTGCGTGAGGCACCCAAACACCTTCTTTATGGAGTTT